GAGGGTGATGTGGGTGGGGAGGGAAGAAGGAGAAGGAGGAGAAGGAGAAGGAGAAGGAGAGGGAGGAGGAATCGGCGGGTGATGGTGTTGATGTTGCTATTGATGATGCTGATGGTGGCGATGATGGTGGTGGTCTTGATGGTGGTGATGGCGATGGTGATGGTGATGGTGATGGTGATGGTGATGATGATGATGATGATGGTGATGGTGATGATGAGGGGGAGGGGGAGGAGGAACATAAGGGCGGTCAGAAGAACCAAAGGCCTCTTGAATGACTTTCGGAGCCTCTTGGGATATCTCTCGGGTGCTTCTTGGAGGCATCTTGGGGCGCCTGGGGGTTCTCTTGGCGGTCCTGGGGGGCCCTTGGGCGTCTTGAGTGCCTCGGGAGGGTGTGTGTGTGTGTGTGTGTGTGTGTGTGTGTGTGTGTGTGTGTGTGTGTGTGTGTGTGTGTGTGTGTGTGTGTGTGTGTGTGTGTGTGTGTGGGGGTGTGTGTGTGTGTGTGTGTGTGTGTGTGTGTGTGTGTGTGTGTGTGTGTGTGTGTGTGTGTGTGTGTGTGTGGGGGGGGGGGGGGGGGCTGGGGCCGTTTAGGGGCCCTCGCGGGTGCATCTTGAGGGCCTCTCGGGGCCATCTCGCGGCCACCTTGGAGCCACGTTGGCGCCGCTCGGGGCCTCCTGGGCGCCTCTCGGGGCCATTGGAGGGGGTCGATCAAAGAAAAAGGGTTCCCTGATTCGCGCCCCCCTTCGGGAACCCCCAGAATCGCCTCCTGGGCCCCTCTTGGGGCGCTCTTGGGGCGCTCTTGGGGCGCTCTTGGGCGCTCTCGGGGTCGTCTTGGGACCATATTGGGCCCCTCTTGGGCCCTCTCGGGGCCATCGCGAGGCCTCGAATGGCCATCCGAAGCGAAGCGGCGAGAAGGCAAACCTCATAGGTTGTCCTAAGGCTTTTGAAGGATTTTGACTTCTTGGAGGCCTCCTTGGGGTGCTTCCGGTCGCGACCGGCGCTTTCTTGGGGCGTGCTTGGGGCGGTCTCTTGAGGCCTCTTTTGATAATCTTCGGGGCCATCTCGGCGCATATCTTAGCTATCTTCTTACCGTTGTCGAGCCATATTGGAGTGCAATCTTAGTGGGTGGCACGTTACTGGCTCTCCGAGGCGCTCGTGGAGCCATCTTGGGCCATCTTGGACGCTCCGACCGCTCGCGGGACGCCCCGTCCAGGTCCAGGGGGGTGGGGGGAGGGGGAGGGGTAAACCCCCATACCCGAGGAGGAAGAAGGATATTGGAAGAGGAAGCTCCCTAAACCACCTACGCCCACAGCGCCTCGACTGCATGACTTCAGGGGTGGTTAGTGTCGGCAAGCGTGCGTGCGATTTTTTTGTGTTGGGGCGATCCTGCACGCTGCCAGGGTAGTGGGTGAGGCTGGTCAGCGCCCACAGCACGGGCCTCGCAGGCTCGGTCGGGCTGTTCCTGGCAGGAAGGGGGGGGGGGAGGCAGTCCCACGTGAAAGTGTGGAGGAGGACAGACGGTCCTCCACCTATCCACGTAGCACTTGGCCCACTGCTTGACGAAGACGCCATCCTTGAAATACGATGTCGTCAGCGGGCTCCTGTGCCCTTCATCAGCTGGCTGTTCTGGCTGTTGTTGTTGTTGCTGCTGCTGCTGCTGCTGCTCCTGCTGCTGCTGCTGCAGCTGTTGATCGCCAGATGAGGGCTGCTGCTCCTGCTGCTGCTGCTGCTGCTGCTGCTGCTGCTGCAGCTGCTGGTCGCCAGATGAGGCCGATCCCGCCATCTGGTGTTCGGGGTGGCCGAATTGGGGGCGTTTCAGCTAGCCTCGAGCGCCCTGGCTACGGACAGCTGACAGAATCCCACCAGCCCTCTGGGCGTAGGTGGTTTAAGGCGTTTCCTCTTCCAACCTCCTTCTTCCCCTTCGGGGAGGGGTTTACCCCCCCCCCTAACCCCTTCCTCTGGGCTTGGACGGGGGGGGAGGGGGGGGCGCCGTCCAAGGTGGCCCACGATGGTTCCAAGAGGGCCTCAGAGAGCCCAAGATGGGCTCTAAGATGGCCCAAGATATCCCAAGATGGCCCGAGATGGCCCCCAAGATGCTCCAAGAGGCCCCACGACCGCCCCAAGACGACTCCAAGTGGCCACGGGGCCTCCCAAGGAGGCCTCCCAAGAGGCCAAATCCTTTCGAAAACCAATGGGGACCCAATGATGTTTGCCTTCTCGCTTTTTCGCTTCCGATGGCCATCCGAGGCCTCAAGATGGCTCCAAGAGGGCCCACGGAAGCCCCAGCAGGGGCCCAAGAGAGCCCCAAGACGACCCCAAGAGCGCCCAAGGGGTTCAGGGGGCGATTCTGGAGGTTCCCGAGGGGGGCGCGAATTGGGGGCCCCTCTTCTTGATCGATCTCCTCCAAGTTGGCCCCGAGAGGCCACCCAGGAGGGCCCGAGGGGCGCAAGATGACGAACAGATGGAATCGGGGATGGCCCCGAGGGAGAGGCACATCAAGAGGCCACCAAGAGGGCTTCCTTAAGCGTTCCCAAGGAGCCCCCCCCCCACCCCCACCCCCCCCCCACCCCCCCCCCCCCACCCCACCCCCCCCCCCCGAGGCACTCAAGACGCCCAAGAGCCGCCCAGGACCGCCAAGAGAACCCCCAGACGTCCCAAGATGCCTCCAAGAAGCGCCCAAGAGATATCCCAAGAGGCTCCGAAAGTCATTCAGGCGACCTCTGGCCTTTTTGCTCGCCCTCCTCCTCCTCCTCAAGATGCCCTCCAGACGCTCCAAGAGGCTTCCAAAACAAACCCAAGAGGCATCCTACGAGGCTCTATGTGTTCGTAATTGCTCTGTGTGCTGCCCACTTCCCTGATCGAGGCAATTCCTCTGGGCATCGTTTCTGGATTGGCTGGTGGGGTTACGCGAGCGTACTTCGACAACTCAACATACTTCCATAAACTCACCCAGAGCAGCGTGCCGTTTATGATAACGAACCGCGCCTGCGCCCATGCCATGTACTTATTATTTTGTACATTTTACTATGCATTAAGGCTCTTTTGAACACGATTATTATACAACTCGATATTTTTCTTCGTTCTTTCTCCCAGACTTGGTTTGTGCCACGCCCCTCGCGCATATCGTGCGCTTCACAAGTGGATGTCTTTCTGAGAATAGCATATCATGCGTGCAACAACAAATATGATAAAACTCAAGTAACTCAGCGAAACCCAATGAAACCTACACAAACATGCAGAAACTACAGCGAAAAATGCCCCCACCCACACCATCCGATCGGATGGTATGGAGGGTGGAGAGAGGGATGGATGGTGGAGAGCATGGGTGTGGGGGGTCCAGAACTCCCGAGGCGCTGAGGCGCCCGAGCCCGACCCGAAGCAGGGCCACGACAGGCCTAAGGCGGTCCCGAGAGGGCCCAATACCCCGGTCCCACGAGGCCCCGAAGACGCCCAAGATGCCCTCAAGACAGCCGACGAGGACTCCAACACGCTCCAGGACGGACTCAAGAGGCTCCCCAAGAGGGCCCTCGCTCGTTTTCCGAGTGTTTTGGATTTTGGCGTTCTCGTTTTTCCCGCTTCCCAGCGCTCCCTCACGGCCTCGGAGGCCTTTCAGATCGCTCCAAGAAGGCCCACGAGGCCCCGACGAGGGCCCCAAGACGGCCCAGGATGCTCCCCAGACAACCCAAGTGTGCCCCAAGAGCGCGCCAAGAAAAGGCCCAGAGGGGTCCCGAGGCGGCCGGGCCCGCCCCGAAGCAGGCCACGACAGGCTAATGGAGGTCCCGAGAGGGCCCTAGACAGTCCCAAGAGGCCCCGAAGACGCCCAAGATGCCCTCAAGACGGCCGACAAGGACTTCAACTCGCTCCAGGACGGACTCAAGAGGCTCCCCAAGAGGGCCCTGGGAGGCAAGATTCCCGCAGTTCCCGATGGTTTTTGAAGGATTTAGGCGTTTTCGCTTCCCCCGCTTCCCAGCGCTCCCTCACGGCCTCGCTCGGAGGGGCCACGATGCCCGGAAGAGGGCTCCAAGACGGTCTAAGACGCTCCCCAGACAACCCAACTGTGCCTCAAGAGTTCCCCAAGAGAGGGATCAGAGGGGGACCGCCAACCGATATTTCGATGTCTCTGGCCCTAGAGGCCGCCTGTAGGCCCCCAGAGGCCACCAAGAGGCTCCCACGAAGCCCCGTGAGGCGCCCAAGAGGCCCCCAGGAAGCCCCAAGAGACCCCCAAGGGGCTCCCAGGGAACGCCCAAGAGGCCCCCCAACACACCCCAAGAAATCATGTCCCCAGAAAACCTTCAGGGGAGTTGGTTCATCATGGGCCCGAGAGTTCCCGGAGGCCCCCAAGGGTCCCCCAGGGAACGCCCAAGAGACCCCCCAACACACCCCAACAAACCATGTCCCCAGAAAGCCTTCTGGGGACATGGTTCATCATGGGCCCGCGAGTCTCCGGAGGCTTCGAAGTACCATCATGCTACAGGAGAGTTGTCTGGGAAGTTGATTGGGAACATGACTGATCGCCTTCTCGCGGCCCTCCGCAGATCGTTTCGCACAAAGTGCCCCAAGTGCCCTCTTGACGACCGAACGACGACGACGAAACGACGACGACGACGACGACGACGACGACGAGACGACGACGCGACGACGACGACGGCGACGACGACGGCGACGGCGCGCCCCAATAGGCGTCGACGACATTACGATGAAGACGACGACGGCACGCTCCAACAGGCTCCCCAAGCCGCCCCCAAACCCATGCTGCCAGAAGGCCTTCTGGGAACCCGATTCATACGGCCTCCGCCCCCCTACACAACCATTTCTTCGAAGGCCTTTTGGAATGCAGATCGGCATGCATGGACTGTGGTCCACTACTTCAGTGGAGCAATGAATTCGTCAAGGTCTGGGGCCTGCTAGAAGCTGAGCGCGCGCGAAGCGCACGCGAAGGTTCTAGTATGTATACATGTATATTTTTTAGTACAAATCTACGCATGACAGATGGTAGACACATCGGCTCTGATCCCACAGGAGAAGGAGGAGAAGCACCAGTGCAAGCCCAAGACGATCCGTTGCAATCCGTAACCATTTTGGCTCAAGACTCAAGTCTTGGGCTTAATGCATTTTGCCTTGGAGCGTTAGGGCGGCTAGCCTTTGACACAAGCGAGGTGAAGCGTGTTTCCTCCCAATGGCCGTCCTAGACTTATCCACCTTTGGGTATCAAGTGCAAGCTGTTGCCTGGATGTTCTGCACCGTTATGATGCTGGGGCGGCAGTTGTGGGTCGAAGGCACATGGAGATCTTGCTTTCGCGATTGCTCTGCTGGATTGCTCGTGTTCTGTAAAAGGGTGGGGACATGCTTTATTGAGAGAGGTAGCAGTGAAGATGCCCTTCACTTGCACAAGCGAGCCATGAGGCGTGACATGTCTCGACGATGTTGCTGGATCGCTTCTGTAGCCGCCGTCGGATTTGTTCTCCCGCTTTCGCTGCTCACCCCCGATGACCGTGCGCATATCGGTCCGAGGCGTTTGCATTACGCCTTCTGCTCGACGATCATGGTGACCCTCAATATGTTTCCAAGGCTGATGACCCCATCACGACTTCACTTTTGGTATTCTCTAATCTGCATTTCAAATGCATTGACGGTGTCACCTTTGTTGCAGGTCGCGGACTCGATTGATGACCTCAAGGTTCAGATTGTGATTGATTGTATTTCTTTCAGCTTTGTTGACCTGACCCTTCCTCTGAATTTGTTTTGGTCGACAGTTTGCTATCTATCCGCTGCGCTCACCTTGTATGTTGGCAATTCAAATGAAAGGGCTTGCGATGACTCTGGATCATATAACGACGCTTTTGGCCTTGCAGTGGGCGGCACTCTGGCAATAGCTCTCTTCCACGTCGTAATCTCATATGTAGCCCTGGCCCGTTTGGAGGGTCAAACATACTGGAACGAGCTGCGCGCGGCAAGGTCGATATTAGCAGGCATGTGCGACGCTGTGGTGCAGCTCGATGGCGAGTTGAGGTTCACGCAGCCTTCTCACCGACTCGCCACTTTGCTATTGCATGATCCGCCTCGAGCTTTGGTGGGAGAGAGGGTGTCGAATTTTCTTGCCACGCAGGCCGATCGCGAGAAGTTTGTTGAAGAGGTAACTTCCATTACCGCGAATGAGGAATTCTGTAAGGCTTTTCACGTACATATGCGTTGCAATGGTGGCAGTGCATTGCCGCTGGAAGCATTTTGCGTGCGTTTTAGCAGTGGTGATGAAAAGTGGTCGTACCTAGTCGGCTTCCGGGAGTTCGCAGACCTGGCTACACCATCTAGCATGGCGTTGCCCTTGCCCAGTGCCCAATTGTCGAAAAGTGCCCAGGACGGGTTGCAGTCACTCGGTAGGAAGCCCTCCGATGCTATCACCTCTTCAGGTAGCTCTGAGTCTGTTGCATCCGAGATTGCTGTTTGGATCGACGCTCAGTCATCAGACCTCAGAATGCTGAGCTGCAACAGTGCCTTCGAGATGTTTGCTGGCGCTTCTTGGTCGCAAATGAGTGCTTGCCAACCGAGTCTTTTGCAGTGTGTTGATCCAGGTCAGCAAGCTGATTTTGAGTTCTGGGTCCGTCGTGTCCTCGAGAAGTCCACCAAGGACGATTCGGCGCCCGCTGTGAGCGGGGTGCGTTTCCGCTTCAGTGAGTGTCATCACCGTTTCCGCCTGTCCGTCGAGTGCACGCTGACATTGATTCTGTGTTTGCCAGGTGGCATGGGGGCTGGGGGGCTGGACCGAGGTGCGAACGAGGTGAAGCTTGTCTTCGAGAGGCCCAGGTGGTGCCAGGGGCAGCGTTGGCGCTCGCGCGTCAGACCGCGCGGGCCCCGCCGCGCCCCTGGGCCACCAGGCGCCCCCGAGGCACGCGGTGCCGCCGCGGCAGTGGCGGCGGCCCAGGAGCTCGCCGGCAGCGCCCGGGCCCCAGTGCAGTGCCTGGGCAGAGCGGCGCAGCCAGAGGAGGCGAGCGGGCCGTGGCTGGAGGCCCCCGCGGGTGCAGGCGCATCCGCGCCCAGGCCCAGCAGCACCTGGGGGGGTGGCGCCCGCGGCGTGGCGGCGGGCGGCGGCGGCGAACAGCACACCGGCGGTGCGGACCGCGGGGGCAGTCGCGGCAGCGGGAGCCGCGGCAGTGAGGGCCGTGCGGGGAGAGGGCGGGAGAGGCAGAGCGACGCTCTCAATACCCTGGCGCTCTGACCCTCAGCGTCGAACGTGCAGCTTGGATCCAGGTGTTGTGGAAGTAGTGGTGCGCGGTAGTAGTAGCAGCACCGACGGCGGACTTTTTGCAGTCTTCGACAGCTGACCGATACCAGCTGGGGCCGTGGGCGCGCCCCTGTGAACAACAAAAACTATCTAACGATGTTGCAATCAGCCCTCCCTCCAAGTTCCCTCTGCACAGGTCCCTCAAGAATTTGCATGAATTGCCGCCACTGCTTTATTGGAAGACAAGCGTATGAGAATCCTCAGTCGTTCTGCCACCATTTCTGGGACTTCAGCGCCGCGCATTAGCATGATTACTGCGTCCTGACAATCCGAAATCGTGCCAGAGCATTGTTCCTGGGACTTCAGCACCGCGAATCAACGTGACTGTTGCGTCTTAGCGTTCCTAATCGTGCCAGGACGCCATGTCTGGGACCTCTGTGATGCAAACCCTAGAAACTGCTGCAAATTGCTAAGTCGAAAGAGCGCGGCGCTAAGGCGAGAGCCACAGTTTGAAAAAGTCGCCCTCCATTGTTGATGCTGCTGCGAACTTTCAAGACGGATGCGCGCGGCGCTCAGGCGAGAACCACACTTGGAAGACGGCCCGCCCTCTACCCGTGAAACTGCTGCATCTTTGAAGACGAGTGTGTGCGGCGCTCCGGCGAGAGCCACATCTGAAAACGATCCGCCCTCCATCCTCGCAGCTGCCGCAAACTCTTACGACGAGTGTGCGCGCCGCTAAGACGAGAGCCAGATTTTGAAAATAGCCCGCCCTTCATTTCGAAGACGGCCCGCCCTCCACCCGTGACACTTTTGCATACGTCGAGTTTGAGGTTCAAAATGCTGGAGGCGAAACGCCCACCCCGCCCTACCGACATGGCTGGGGGTGCGACAGGGAGGAGATATTTCCGAGCGTAGCCCGAATTGGTTTCTCGCGAGGTAAACTGACTGAACTGAGCTGGACTGAACTGAACTGACTGGTCACACCAGTTACGCGACGGTTTTATTCTCGGCCGCCAAGGGCGCAACCTATGGCGCAACCGATGGGAGACGGTTTTATTCTCAGCCGCCGAGGGCGCAACCTATGGCGCAACCGATGGGAGACGGTTTTATTCTCAGCCGCCGAGGGCGCAACCTATGGCGCAACCTGCGACGACGACGACGACGACGACGACGACGACGACGACGACGACGACGACGGCGCGCCCCAATAGGCGTCGACGACATTACGATGAAGACGACGACGGCACGCTCCAACAGGCTCCCCAAGCCGCCCCCAAACCCATGCTCCCAGAAGGCCTTCTGGGAACCCGATTCATACGGCCTCCGCCCCCCTGCACAACCATTTTCTTCGAAGGCCTTTCGGAATGCAGATCGGCATGCGTGGACTGTGGTCCACTACTTCAGTGGAGCAATGAATTCGTCAAGGTCTGGGGCCTGCTAGAAGCTGAGCGCGCGCGAAGCGCACGCGAAGGTTCTAGTATACATATAACGGCGCACCGGGTCCGGGGGCCCGGGGCCGGGACCTCGACCACCAATGTGGGCTCCGGGGGGCCCGGAGGCTCGTCGGGGCTTGCCGGAGGCCTCCCCGGTCAGACAAGACGGCCCCAGGAGCGCCCAAGACGGCCCAAGAAATTTCCAAGAGGCCGCCAAGAGGGCTCCGAGATGCTGAAGATGGCCTCCAGACGTCCAAGGACGCCCCCAAGAGGCCCCAAGAAGCCTCCAACATGCGTCCCAAGAGGGCCCCTAGACGCAACAATTGGCCCATTCCCATCGTAAAACGTACATTTTCAACAAAGTTGTCTTTTGGGCTTTCCGACGTTACAGGACGGCCCAAGAGGCGCCCAAGACCGCCCCAAGACGGCCCAAGAAGCTTCCCAGAGGGCCCCAGGACAGCCCAAGAGGGCCCCAAGACGGCCCAAGAGGCGCCCAAGATGGCCCAAGAGGGCCCCAAGACGGGCCCAAGAGGGGGCCCAGAGGGGGACCACGAACCGCAAGCTCGAGCCTTCCGCCCCAAGAGGCCGCCAGGAGGCCCCCAGGAGGCCCCTCAAGAGGCCCCAGGAGACCCCCACGAGGCCCAAAGGAGGCCCCGAGAAGCCCCAAATCGGCCCCCACAATGCTTCGAACCTGCTTCCAGGAGGCCCCCGACAGGTTCAGAGGCTCCCAAGAAGCTACGTCAAACTCCCAGCGAGCGGCCGGACGAGGCCCCCCAAAAAATCCCAAGAGGGTTCCAGTATTTGTATCTTTCAGCGCTCTCTGGCCTTCTTTCCCCTGCCCCCTTCCCTGCGACTTTCGTTGACTCAAGCTCGCCTCCTCTCCATTGCCTCTCTCTGCCTCTCTCTCTCTCTCTGTCTTTTTTTTGTTGTTTCTCTCTCTCTCTCTCCATCTCTCTCTCTCTCTCTTTCCTTCGCTCTCTGTCTGTCTGTCTCTCTCTGCCTCTCTTTCTCTCTATCTTTCTCTCTCTTCCTTTCAGATTCCGTGTCCTTGCGACCTTCTACAGTCCCCGACGTCGCCATGGCTGGATCCGCTCGAGCGTGTCTTGTGATGTGCGGCGTTGCGAAGCCCGTCCCACTGATCAAGGCACAGGTACGAAATGATGGGTCCATCATTTCTTGCCTTCCCATGTGCGTTTTCCCAATCGATTCCTGGGCCCGAGGTCGCAAAAATTACGACGTCGGAGGTCTGGGGAGGCGGGAAGCACGACCTGGACCTCCGACGTCTTGGAACAATCACGACGGCGGTTTTTGTTTTGTCAATTCTCAAGGGCGTCCCTGCGTGTGGAGAGCTGGTAAGGGAGGAATGGGCACCTGGGGGGGGGAAGGGAGGGACTGATTGATTTAGGGGGTGGGGGGAGAGGCGGGGGAACAGGGGTAGTGGTATGCCTGTGGAGACAGAGGGTGGAGAGATCGGTTCAGAGAGTCGCCAGGTAGTCCGCTGACGCCTCGGAGGCCGCCGCCTCCGACCACCCGCATGGTAGGCCGGGGCGGCCCGGGACGGGTCGTCCAAACACTTCCAGGAGCTGCCTGCCCACAGGCCGCAGCGGCCCTGCCTTAAGCGGGGCGCCCCCTTCGCCGAACGCCGCTCATTCCTCCCAAGAAAGGCCCAAGACGGCCCGAGAGGCCCCCCAAGGCACTCCACGACGCTTCAAGACGCCTCTCCAGAGCGCATCAAGAGGCCGAGATCGTCAATTTTACGAAGGTTTTCGAACGATTTTGACCTTCCAGCTTTTTCGGCTGTCCGACGTTCCACGACGGCTCAATAGGCCCCCAAGAGCGCCCAAAGACGGTCCAAGAGGGCCCCAGGACGGCCCCAGAGTCGCCCAAGACAGCCCCACAGAGCCCCAAGACGACCCCAAGATGCGCCCAAGAGGGGGACCACGACTCCATAATTCGACCCTCCCGCTTGAAGAGTGCCCCAGGAGGACCTAAGGAGCCGCCAAGAGGCCCCAGGAGGCCTCCAAGAGGCACCCAGGAGGCCCGAACGAGGCCTGAAGAGGCCACAAAACAGCCCCGAGGAGGCCCCACAACGGTCCCAATACGGCTACCGAGAAGCTGCGAAACTGCCTTCACGACGTCCCCGACAGGCCAACCACGAGATCCAAACTAACACCCATGAGGCCTCTGACCCACCACCCCGGGCACGGTGGCGGGGGCAGTGACAGCACTTGTGCACAGCATGTTCCGGCGAGAGCCTTCCAGAACACGCTGCAGGAGGAGGAGGAAGATCAGGAGGAGAGAGAGCTGGAGTGGGAGGAGGAGGAGGGGGACGAGGAGAAGGACGAGGCCTCCAAGACAGCTCCAAGATAGCCGAAGAGGCTTCCAAGAGGGCCCTGGGCGGCCCACGAGGGCCCCAAGGCGGTGCCTGAGGCGCCCAAGACGACCCGAGAGGGCCCCAAGACGGCTCCAAGAGAGGCCCAAGAAGGGAAACACGAACCGAGAATCCGAGCTTTCTACCCCGTGAGGTTCTCGGGAAATCCCAAGAGGCCCCCAATCGGATCCAAGAGGCCCCCAAGAAATTCCTAAGAGGGCCGACGAGGTTCCAAGAGATCTCCCAAGATGGCCCCAAGAGGCACAACTTATCGTGTTAAGATTGGGCTTTGACGGGTTTTCATTTTTTTTTCTGCCTTTTGGCATCCCGATGCTCCAAGACGGCCCAAGAGGCTTCCAATACCGCTCCAATATAGAGGAAGAGGTCTCCAAGAGACCCCCAAGACTGCCCGCGAGGGCCCCAAGGCGGTGCTTGAGGCGCCCAAGACGGCCCGAGAGGGCCCCAAGAGCCCCAAGAGAGGCCCAAGAAGGGGAACGCGACCCAACAGCAGAGCGTTCCCCCCAAAAGGCCCACAGGAGGCCGCAAGAGGCCCCCAAGTGGTCCGACGAGGACCCCAAAAGCTTCCCGAGGGCCTAAAAGGCCCCTAGGAGACGTCCAAGAGGTTTTAAAATGGCCCAAGAGAGCCCTCGATGCGCCGAAACTGCTTCCAGCAGGCCCCCGGGAGGCTTCCGGATTGCCTCAATCTGGCCGCAGGTGGCCTCAAGTCGGGCCTCCACGCAGCCAAGACGGCCATTGACGGCTTCAGATTGCAGAACCGATGCCCCCAAGGGACCCTCAGACGCCCCCCCAAGAAGCACCCAAGAGGTGCCTCCAACAGCCAGTTGACGAAGCATGCGGAACACCCCAGAAGCTCCTCAGATGCCGTCGCGCGCCTGTGCTTGATAGCGTTGTCCAAGATCGTCCAGCGCCACCCTGGCCTGGGCTAGAACCTGAGCGCGCGCGAAGCGCGCGCGCGATGTTTCTAGCCCAGGGGCCCGAAAACAGCTGCCCGACACTCCATGGGAGTACCGGGGCTCATTTCCCCTTTGTTTTTATTGGGTTTCGGCGTCCCGGGCCTCGGAGACCGCCGCGATGGTCCCGGACATTTTCCAGATCCTCGGCGCGGGCTCCAAGACCATTCCGCAGAGGGCTCCAACAGGCTCCAGGGCAGCCCAAGCGGGCTCCAAGACGGCTCCAGGAACGACTGCAGGGTCTCATTTTTCTTGTGTTTTTTGCAAGACGGCTCCAGGCAGACTGCATGTCTTATGAGGATGGCTTCCGCCTCTTGCCCCGATCATCCCAAACTGCCTGAACGGTTCCCCAAACCCAGCGCTTGCCCAAGCGCGTTCCGGACGGTCTTCGCCGGAACGCGCTGGAATGATCACGCGCTGCGGTTTCC